TCTCAAATGGTCACCTTATTGTATGTTTCCATTTGTATAACATTACCACAATGACCAGTTATAAAGCTGAATAGCAGATTAGTGGTTGTCAGGAATTAGCCAGAGGAATAGGAGTAGTTGTGACTGTCATGGGGTAGCAGGATAGAATTCTTTGTGATGAAATAGTTTAGTATCTTGATTGTAATGATAGTTACATGACCCTGCACATGTGACATTTAAGTGACATAGAAGCATACTTAATATCAATTTTTTGGATTTAATATATTGTAGTTACATAAGACGAAACCAGTGGCGAAATTAGTGGATGGTACATGGGACCCATCTTTGCAGATTCCTTTGCATTTGTAATAATTTCAAAATAAAAAGGCAAAAACAAAAGAGAGGGATATCATAATTGCTATAGGATTTCAGAGGAAGAAGTAGTTCCTTGATAACTAGGAGAATGAGACAAGACCTGAGGCCATAGCTTTTGAATAGTTTTTATAGGATAGGTAGACTTTTCACAAATCAGTACAGGGAAGAGAAAGGTATTTTAGACATATCAAGGTTAATAAGTGTTTATGGAATGACTGCCACTGTTTTATTATTATTAAGAAATGTTAACATCTGATTAGTCTGAAGAACATTTTAATTGAATGAAGAGAAATGTTTGTTTAAATTTTATATCTGATATAGAACTTGAGGATATTTGTTACCCTTGTGTTGTTACACAGATTCTGGAAGCCTAAGTGTAACAGAGAAAACATAAATTACCAATATCAGAAATGAAATGGAACAGTTTAAAAAATGGATAAGAATAATAAAAAAATGCCTGGGTTTTAAGCAAAACAAAGCTTATTTTTTTGTGGATTTAAGAAATTGAATCAGAGAAAAAGTCACATTTTATTTGTCAAAATAGGAGAACTCTTAACATTATTTTTATTTTTTGAGATGGAGTCTCTGTCACCCAAGCTGGAGGGCAGTGGCGCGATCTCGGCTCACTGCAACTTCTGCCTCCTGGGTTCAAGTAATTTTCCTGCCTCAGCCTCCCAAATAGCTGGGACTACAGGTGTGCACTACCATGCCTGACTACATTTTTGTATTTTTAGTAGAGATGGGGTTTCACCGTCTTGGCCAGGCTGGTCTCTAACTACTGACCTCAGGTGATCCTCCTGCCTGTCTCTCAAAGTACTAGGATTAGAGGCATGGGCCACTGTGCCTGGCGAGAACTCTAATATTAGACAACGATGTCAAGATAAATTACTATATAGGCCTATGTTAAAACTCTGTAGTGACCTATTCTTTTTCTTTCTGGAATGTTCACAGTTTGTAATTACACATTTTTGTTGATTGCTATATTTCTTTTTTTTTTTTTTTTTTTTGGAGACAGGGTTTCACCATGTTGGCCAGACTGTTCTCAAACTCCTGACCTCAGGTGATCTACCTGCCTTGGCCTCCCATAGTGCTGGGATTACAGGCATGAGCCACCGTGCCCAGCCTGCTTAATATTTCTATTACTCAATTATGAGCTTTCTGTAGCTCATCATTGTCTTCCCAATTCCTATCCCTGTCCCTGACAGCACTTAGTAAATATTTGTCGAATGCATTAATGCATGAAATCAATGACTTGGCAAAACACTTTAGAATGAAAGTTATAGAGGTAGAGAAACAGCATGGTAGGATAGGCTAGACAGATAAGTTTGGTGGATTGGTAAAACTTTAATAGAGCTACACAAAGATTTAAGCTTTTACAACCAAGAAATTCAGGATTGGATTTTGTAATAGGTTGAGTTTTAAAGAATTCCAGATTGTTAGCATGAACAGTAGATGGGCCATGTAAATAGCTGTAAAAATGTAATATAGCACAGGTTAAAAGAGACCAGAAACATGCCATTTCAAACTGTTTTCTGGTGTCGAAGCTTTCTTAATGAACCACCACTTAAATGACTTGATGAGATTAACTGACAGCCCATTCCTGTTTGAAGCACTATCTGATTCCCTATAGCATGCTGAAGACTTACTCCATGGTATGTTTACCAGTTGAGTTGTAAAGTTACCAAGAACTGTTTACTTGTTTGTGCTCCCAATACTGTCCTTGCTAGTTGTACTAATTTTAATCACACTATTTATTTATTTATAGACAGATTTTCTTTCTGTTGCCTAGGCAGGAGTGCAGTGGACCAATCTCAGCTGACTACAACTTCTGCCTCCCAGGTTCAAGGGATTCTCGTGCCTCAGCCTGCTGAGTAGCTGGGACTACAGGCACATGCCATCATACCTGGTTAATTTTTGTATTTTTAGTAGAGATGGGTTTTTACCATGTTGGCCAGGCTGGTATCAAACTCCAGAGGTCAGGTGATCTGTCTGCCCCCGCCTCCCAAAGTAATGGGATTATAGGTATATGCCACCACAACTGGCCTAATTAAAATTTAAATAATTGCATAAACCAAGGAAAAGAATAGAAAAAGAGATGATGTTTCTGTGAAAATTAAGTTAAATGTTTTGGAAAGATTTGATAAAGGGTAATTACTAAAAAATGCTGAGTTAGATATGTGCAAGAGAGCTATAAAATAGTAGGGATAAATTATTCTTAAAAAAAAAAAAAATAGAAAAGGATTATGCACTCAGATTGCCTCATGTGTCTTATAATTCTTGCCCCACTTTTAAAGCAGTGTTTTTTAATCTGTAGGACATAAAGTCAATTTAATGGGTTGAAGTCAACAATTTTTTTAAAGAAATATTTTAGAACACGTTACAGTACATTTATACCTGGAAATGAGCATTGTTTTATGGAGCTTTTCTTGAGTTTTTAGAAGTCTATACATATGTGTGCAATGTAAAATGAAAATGTGATTTTCAGTGAAAAGCTTAAAAACTTTTGAGTTTGGATCCAAACTCAAAGAAAAGGCTTTGGCCCAAAAGATTGGTGAATAAGTGCATATTGATATGCTTTGGGTTAAAATAAAATGATTATGTACATGTGTTTATGATATTTAGGTTGATGGTTTTGTTCAACCAACCAATTACTGATCTCAGTCTCATGGGATAAGAGTTTTTACGGGCCGGGCGCGGTGGCTCAAGCCTGTAATCCCAGCACTTTGGGAGGCCGAGGCGGGTGGATCACGAGGTCAAGAGATCGAGACCATCCTGGTCAACATGGTGAAACCCC